TGTAAACAGCCCAAAACTAATACGATATATTGCAATCGAAAAATTGTTTCCTCAAAATAGAGTTAGACGCTCAGTTGTTAATACTAATGATAGTTTTTTGGTTGTGATTGGTGAAAACACAACTTGTGCTGCAATAAAGACTAAAATCCTCCCCTCAATTTGTAATGGACCTTTAAAGTCAGGATTCGCTTATAGGTATCATTAGATTTTTTTTGATTTTTAGTACTTTATATAACAACTCATAATAAAATAAGCTAATAGAGGATTTTAATAATGGAGGATTTTATTTCAGATTGTGTTTAAATTAATGATTCAGATTGTGTTAAAATTTGAAGTTTTTAACTTGAAATAGTTAAAAATCTTCCTGTCTATTTCACATATTGTTTATTACATAGTGTGCATTATAAGTTGTACGCATTATAACCAATGGTAATTTTGCATGTTTTATTTAATTGATTCTTTATGTAAAGTATCATAAACTTACAAAGCATTTAATTATTTAAAAACTTAAAATTTTTGAGAAATAAATTGGGTTTAAAGAATTTCTGCAAGATCTAGATTTTCACAATCATACCTGAATAATTACAATATTATTTTGCAAAGGACAAATAGCAATAACCTTATAAACTTATTTGGCATCAACTTAATAAAAACAAAAATAAACTTGAATCATATTATATCAGAAAAGTTGAAAAGAAAAATAAATACAATTATAAATAAATGGAAGTACATTAAATAAATAGAAATACAATTATACTTTATAAATGACATATTTGTTTTCAATAATGATAGTGTGGTAATGCTTTGCATCATCGCATGTGATGATACTTCTAAAAAATGTTCAAACAAAATTTAATGTTTAACCTAGAGTTTAGCTGGTTGTATCTACATATGAAGAGAGTGTTCAAGCCTGTATTGGGTTTTCTAGCTAAAGCATTTGCTGCTCAATGTATTTATTGTAAAACCTTCAAGATTTTTGCGATCCATCACCTTCTTTTCTTATCTCAGCTACATCTTTGAAGATAAATTGATTCATAAGAATTAAGAATTTTTGTACATATGTAGTTCTAACAGCAAACAAACTTCCTTGATTTTAGTTGTATTGTCTTGGTTTTTTTGTGTGTGTAGCACAAACTTTTAAACTAATCTACAGGTTGGGGTAAATCTCATTAAGATTTTGAGATTAAGAGCATGAAGACTAATTTTATTTATATAAAATTATCTTTGCATTATGCTTTGAAAGATGTTAATCTATTATCTTCAAGTCTGAATAGAGAGTAAAGTCCTTGACAACTAATAGAGAGTCCTTGTGTTTTAATCCAATCAGTCCTTGTATCAAATAATTAGCTGCAAATTTGAAGTTTATCAAATTTGCAGATTTATCTTTTTAGATTTACATGTTTCTTTTCAACCTGATTGGTTGAATATTTCACCAACTGAGTTAAAAAAAACTTTTTTTTATTCATTTTAGTTTTTTTTCAAATAATCTTTTTACTCATCGAACTTTAATTAATTCATCAAATCCATGAAAAAACATTCAGGTATATAAAAAAATTCCTCAAGGAATAGTTACATTTCTCTGCACAGCGGCCTCATTTGTTGTGTTATGGAACTACATGGAGTTGAGTTTTGAAGTTAAGAGTTGTAAGAGAGGGTTGTAACTACAACTAAAGCCTCCTCGACTGCAGTGACCTTGGCTTTAAGGAGGTGAATTAAAATTAATTCAGCTTCTAATTAAAGATAAATCTTTCTATTACACTAAAAATTGTATAGATTATATATAAGCTATAGATTGATATAAGCCTATGTCTTGTTAGATAATTGTAGACCTAAGTTGTTAGATACAATTATCTTACATCTTACGCAGATGCTTTTTCTAATAGAAAAAGTCCTTGGAATAGTAAAATTAACACAATACTTATTTTGATTATTGATGGGAAATATACTAAGAAAAAAAATAAAATTAATATTACATAAAAGTATAAAATAGTAATAAAAATATATGTAAAAATAATAATAAATAAAAACAGTTCAAAAACCTAGTTAGGCTAAAGTACTTTTTTTTTAGAATACAGTTACGAGTTTATGAAGCACAAAATTCTACACCTATTGAAAGTATGTTTTCAAGTCCTATAACAATACGTAAGTTTTTTTAAATTCTCATCAACATAATGATTGTCTCATTGTTATTTTGTTACTTTTTTTTAGTCATAGAAACAAAATGTTATAGGATAAGAGGACGTAATCCAATGAGTACCTTACAAAATAATTTGTTAAAGTTATTTCAATGTTGTATTTATTAATTTAAAAAAAAATCCTATAGGTTATCTAAATATTTGTAACATCAGAAATGAATAAGAACAGATTATGCTTTAATAAAAAAGAATCACAAAAAAAAATAATATGTATGCCAAATGTTAAATCAGTCATTAATTTGCATAATCAAAATATTTTATACAATCATAAAAAAGCAGTAGCAAAAACCTACTACTGCATCAATAAATCTACTTACATTATGAACAACCAGTGTGTAAGTAAGAACATTGTGTATCAAGCTACTGTTTTATCCAATAAACCAGATTACATAGAAAAAGTTTATATTGGTATTAATTGGTATTACGACCCCTTTCAAGTTAAGGTATGCAAACCATCTAAAATCTTTTAATTTAATTAAGTACAGCAATGATACGAAATTATCTAAAGAAATTTGGAAACTTAAAAAAGAAAACTTTTCGTTTTTTACTAAGTGGAAAAATTATCAAGCACTGCCAAGCATATAATCCTTTGTCCAAAATTTGCAACCTTTGTCTTAATGAAAAGTATTATATTTTAACGCATACAGGGGGAAATATATTGAACAAAAGGAACAAGTTGGTTTTAAATTGTAGGCATAAAAATAAATTCCTTCTTTCGTTTTGATACTGGCGATTAGCTGATTTATATGCAGTTTTCTTTGACGTTTTCTTGCATTGTCTCTATAGAGACGTCAGATGTAGCTCCACTGTATTTTGTAATTACATTAACAGTTTTTTGTTTGTATTTGATATAGTACATGGCTGATGATTGCTGTATAGACATAAAACTTATAGTCCCATGAAAAGTTGTTTTTACTCTCTCTCTCTCTCTCTCTATATATATATATATATATATATATATATATATATATATATATATATATATATATATATATATATATATATATATATATATATATATATATATATATATATATATATATATATATATATTATAGACAATAAAATTTTTACCTAGTTTTTACTATTTCATTTAATTATAAATCTATTTTATGGTCTTAACTTATTTCTAAATATTGGTGATGGTTTTGGTTATTTTTTAATTGATAACTTGTTAATGTTTTTTTTATTTATTTAGCAACCAGAGACATGCAATATTCTTTCCTAGCAGATGGCTCACAAAGTGATATGGTGGTCTTGTCTTCTGCATTTGGGGCAATATGTTTCTTGTCGTTTTTAGTTATTTTGATTTATGTTTGTTGGAAACAAAAACATGAGTAAGACAAAAAAATTTTTTTTTTTTTATTATTTGAATTAGTTATGTTTTCTCTAATGCAGGGGCAACTCCCAAGATACCATAGATGCTAAAAAGGAGTCTTAAAGACTTTTAGGCAAAGCTTATTCTTTCAATGGTTATTCATTTTATTTTTACTTTGCAGAATTGTGTACAATGAACATTTAAAAGTCACTAGCAAAACCGAATCTATGTATGATCGCAGTGATAAAGCTTATTCTAATGCATCATCTTCTAATCCGGATACTCTTTATGCTCATGGTGAAAGAGATAGGTATATATATATATATATATATATATATATATATATATATATATATATATATATATATATATATATATATATATATATATATATATATATATATATATATATATATATATATATATATATATATATATATATATATATATATATATATATATATATATATATATATATATATATATATTATTTAACCTTTACATTTTCTATTTTTATTTTTTATTTCGATCAATTTTTGTTTCTGTTTTTTTATTTTGTTTCTTTTTATTTAACTTTTAAAGTTTAGTTTATGTTAGTTATATGTTTTTGTTGTTGTTGTTTTTTATTTATTTAATCTATTTTTTTTTAGTATCGAACGTTCTAAAGCCTACACAAAAAATGGTAAAATTTTGAAATCATTTTCTGTCTATTTATTATGTTTTTTATAAATGTTTTTTATTTTATGTTTTTCTGTCTATTTATTATTTTGTTTATAAATGTTTCTCGTGTTTTTTCTCGGTCCTGTTTTGCTTTTCAGTTTTTTTTTACATTTATTTTTTATTTACATTTTTTTTATTTACAATTTATTTTTTATTTTTTACATTTTTTTAATCAAATATATTATTTAAAGCTTACTCTGAATGAGCTGAGGATTAACTTGCTTTATATTTTTCTCTATATTTTTTTAAACAATCAAATCAAAATTTTTTCTAATAGTACATTAAAATTAAAATCAGTCATTTCAATGTTGAATTTAATCGCGCAAAAAAAGTTAATTGCAACATCAAATTGCAACTTTTTTTGCGCGATTAAGTTCAGCATTGAAATGACTGATTTTAATTCTAATGTATTATTAGTAGTAATTTTCCTTGAACATGATGAATCATTATTTCTTTAAAAGTTAATTTACGATTTTAGAAAGTGAAAACACAAAACCGCCACGCATTACCATATCTAACGATGGGGCTTTTGACAAATACTCAATTGACGAAACTGAACCTTCGGAAAATTTATATGCTTTAGCTGAAGCGATGTCAAAAAAGCACGAACAAGAAAAATTACAAAATGTGCAAGAAAAAGAAAGCATTAAAAATATTGAAAATAAATTTAAAAAATCTACTGTTTTTGACGTCGTAACTCAATTAGAATTAAAGAATGGAAAAAAAGTGTTGAACGAAAATATGCCCTATTCATATGAACAAGAAGTAACCGATAACGATAGTTCTTCAGTTGAATACGAATCTATATCAAGTTATGGTCAACATGTGCCTAAGTCGAAAAATAAGTTTTATGAAGATGACGGTTCAATCGCTTTTTAAAATGCAGTAGTCTAAAAAAAACTGAAATACGACAAAAATAATATGAAATACGATTAAAGACGAGAATTTTATTTTTAAAATGCAGTAGTATAAAAAATGCTAAAATACGAATAAATATGAGAATTATATTTTAAAATGCAGTAATGTAAAGAATGCTGAAATACGACGAAAATAATATGAAATACGATTAAAGACAAGAATTTTGTTGTCTATTTAAAAAAGCAAATGTAGTATTTTTGTCATTTAAGGTATTTAATTGACAACAACAATTTCTCAATATTTATTTTTTAATTAATCTACTAAGTTTTCATGTTTTTACGATGCTAAAGCATCGTAAAAACATGAAAACGGATATATTTATCTAAAGCTGATAAATATATCCGTATTATAGGAATAATTTGCATATTATCAGAATATTTTATTTTATTTGCATATTATTATAGAGACATTTTTTTATTATTACTGTTCTGCTAAATTTTCTCAGAACTCTGCTAAATTTTTTCAGATTTTTTTAAAGTTGCGCTCAAGTGTTATTTCAAGTGTTGAGCATTTTTCGAACAAATATTAAGTCAAGTGTACGAAGGTCATAGTTTAACGTTGGTATTTTACGCAGTTATGGAGAAATTTTTTTATGGAGAAATTTTTTTACGCAGTTATGGAGAAATAACTTTGTAGTCTTTTTATCTTTATCGTTATCTTTACGGCCTACTTTATTTATACGGCCGGATTTTTTACTTTTTGTTAAAGCCATTTTTTAAAATTATGTTTTTAAAACTTATAAATTCTTGAATATTTGCAGAATTAATTTTCTTTATAAATTTTAAAAGTTTCTAAAATAGCATATATATATATATATATATATATATATATATATATATATATATATATATATATATATATATATATATATATATATATATATATATATATATATATATATATATATGTATATATATATATATATATATATATATATATATGTATATATATATATATATATATATATATATATATATATATATATATATATATATATATATATATATATATATATATATATACACACATTAAACGACACATAAGAAGTTAATAATAAAAAGATATTAAAACAATTAAAATTCATTGCTCTAATTTTAGTACTCTTCATGAGAAACTTTCTTTCAAAAGAAATTTAAAATAAAAATACTTTCTTTCAAAAGAGATTTAAAATAAAAATACTTTCTTTCAAAAGAAATAACGCTCATATAATTTGAAAGGTAATTTCTTTTGATTATGCATTAACACAGTAAAAAAAAAAATGAAAAACTTTACCAAATACAGATATCTTCGTTTATGGGATTCGGAGGCAACAGATTGTCAAAACGAATAAGCAGCAATAAAAAATGTTTAAAAATGTTATTTACTATTCATACCAGGTCAAGAATATTCGTCTGCAAACAAAGAGATTAGGAAACCTTTTATTCATTTTTAATTTTTAGATTTTTACAACTTTACTAAATAATATACTAATTCACCAGGGAAAAAATAAAACTTTGAAAAAAATCTTTTTGATCAAAACTAGTTTTAATAAATTGTTAAAATTATTTTTATTTAAAAAGATAAATTTTAAAACTTATTAAAAATCCATAATGGCGGAAAAAAGAACAACAAAGGCTGTATTTCAAAACATAATATCTAGTGAAAAGATAATTGATTGAATATCGATACAGTTATAAAACAACTTATTATACACCGTTTAACGTTTTTAAATTTTTTGAAAATTACTTTTTTTATCACGATTTTAGTGAAAAAGTTGAAAATTTTTGACTTTCTATATAGATTTATAGCAATAAATTTTTATTTAACCAAATACAAGAAAAATACATGGGTCAACCGGAGCATCAATATTAAATAAACATTTCCTGAAAATTTCAGCTAATTAACATAATTTTTACTTAAGTTATCATGTTTTGAATTTTAAAAAACCCTAAAAAAGCCAAAAAAGCAAGAAATAAAGATAAAATACATCATTTTGATGTATTAAAACTTGAATACCAATAAAATAAAATGGATCTTGTTCCATTCGGTTTCAAAAAAGCGGTTTTTGCTACCTATATTTTCTCAAATGTTATTTGATCAAATTGAAATAAAAAGAGATTTCGTTACTAGATTTTTAAGTGTATATCCTGATGAGAACATCACTTAGAACCATTATATTGATTATATGAGCAAAGGTTTCTAAAAACATTGGAGTTTTTGCGGATCGCTTTTCTCACTAAAAACATTATTTTATTGAAGCAAGAACTTTAAATATATGCGAGCTAAGTGTATTAAACGTTTTATGATTTGTATATATTTAAAAAATAACTTATACCTCTCCGTGCGTAAAAAATAACCTCTCCGCCTTTATAGATCTTTTGACTCTGAAACCTATTAATATATACATTTTGAGAATAATTATTTAAATAAAAAAAATTTTTTTTCGCACGAATTTTTATTAATTTTGTAAATCAAAATAAGAATACACATGGACCTAAAAACTATTTAAAACTATTTAATAAAATTTGTGACTTCTGTCAACGCAGGTTAGACCAGGTAAAAAAGAACATTTCTTTGTTAATAATTTTATGCTTTCATCTCAAAATTGCTTTTAAAAACCACTTCCAAATAAAGTTAAAAACTTGTTACTATGAGGTTGCTAGGGAGTATTATATGATAGTGGGGCTCTAGTAGGTCAATATTAAGCTATATATTTAAACAAGAATGTCAAAGGTTTTTAAAAGTCAACCTAAAGGGTCAATCTTTCATTTACAATTAAAATATATAAAAAAAATCGAAAAATTTTTTATTTTTTTATTTTTTCTACCTGGTATACCTTAATGAAGTTTATTTTTTATTTTTTTCTTAATTTGCGCAGTTAAAATACAGTACTGGAAAAATTATTATGGATTTTTTAAAATAACACAATTTATGCAACAATTTTAGTTAATTTTATTATTTAAAGTATTATATTTCACGTAAATTCTTTCTATTTTCACTATACATTCATTGTGTACCATATTTTTCATAAATGTCAACATTTTTTATCATTTTATAGATGGCAACACGATTTTTATGTGTTGTGTCATAATTATGCATATTATGCACATTTATGTTAGTTCGCTGCGTTCCGTCACGAGGGCTTGTCGTCGCTGAGAATTAAAGTTTTTATAACATTTTATTGAAGTTTTAAGTTTTTTTAATATTATCTAAACCAAAAAAGTTACTTAATTTTTTTTTATTTCATTTAGTTTTGTATATAAAGTCATGGGTAAAAATAGTGATTTAAGTCCTCGTAAAATTGGACAAATTAAAGTTTTACTAGAAGATTCTGAACTTAAACAAAAAGAAATCGCTAGGAAATTAAATATATCGACACAAATTGTTAGTCTGATTAAGAAAAAAATTGAGAGAGGGATTGATGTGGGCTCTCAACGACAAGGAAACTGTGGGAGGAAAAAAATAACCACACCAAGAACCGATAGAAAAATCCAAAATATGGCACTTAAGGATAGAAGAGCAACATGTTCGAAGATTTCCAGTATGTTAGGGGAAGAAGGAATCTCTGTGAGCAGAAAAACGGTAAACAATCGATTGTTAGAGTTCGGATTGAAAGCATATCGTCCAAGAAAAAAGCCACGCCTTACAGAAAATATGAAAAAAGCAAGATACGATTGGGCAAAGCAGCATGAATCTTGGACTTATGATGATTGGCAAAAGGTAAAAATGGTTTTTTTAATCTTAAATACATTTAGGAATGATAATCAGTTAAATTACTTTTGTCTTTATTAATTATTTTAGTTGTGATGGGGTCTTGTAACATTATAATAATACGTATTTAATAAACAATAATTTTCAAATTTTAACTTAGAGGTAAGGCACTCTCTCTCTACTTTCTCTAGCAGTTAATTTTCTTTCAGGTTGTGTTTTCTGATGAGTCGACTATCGCAATTTTGGATGATAGGGTCCAAACCGTACGTCGACGACCCGGGGAAGAATTTTTGCCAGAATGTTTGAAGAAGACTGTGAAATTTCCTCAAAAAATAATGGTATGGGGGGCATTTTCGGTCCATGGAACCAGTCGATTGTACATCGTGGATGGCACAATGAACCAGGACAAGTACATTAAGGTGCTAGAATCTCGACTAGTGCCACAAATTAGGGAATGGTATGGGTCAGACTTCTGGATTTTCCAGCAAGACTCTGCACCTTGCCACAAATCCAAAAAAGTTATGACTTGGTTCCAACAAAATGCTGTCCAGGTTCTTCCTTGGCCAGGAAACTCGCCCGACATGAATCCCATAGAGAATCTATGGGATATACTAAAAAATGAAATCCACCAAATACCCATAACAACAAAAAGCCAACTGATAGAAAGGTTAATACACGTGTGGTTTCACTCTACAAAAATTAAATTTTTGTGTAAAAGTTTGATTGAGAGCATGCCACATCGTGTAAAAGCTTTAATTCTTGCGAAAGGTGGCCAAACAAAGTATTAAAATGTATAAAAATGTGTAATACGTGTAAATAAATCATTTTTGGTTATGAACTAATGAACAAATTGTGTTTTAGTAATGCCTTAAGTCCGAAATAACGATGTATTTTAAAAATCCATAATAATTTTTCCAGTACTGTAGATGTTATAATGTTGACGGTAACGTTCCAGCAAACATTGTTTTAGTGGAACTGCAGTTGACCTATATTGTTATTTTTTAGTGGTTCATTGGATTTTAGCTCATTGGTTAGTGGACCATTAGAGGCAGCTGCTACAAATAGCAAGCCGATAATTTTCTGACACTTTCATAGTGGCTAGTCATTGACTAGCCATTTATTGCGGCTGCCACTAGTGGTCCACTAAGTAACAGATAGGCAAAACAAGAGTGATTCGCTCAAAACGCCTACATGGGTCCATTGAATTTCCGCTATAGAATGTTTGCTATGGTAGTTTACTGCCAACTAAATTTCAAATATGGAAAGTTTTAACATTTTTAGAAAAGTCAGAATTAACGGACGAGGTGGTAAATTATGTATCTACACACAAATGTTTTTTAACTCCTAATATTAATTCAATTAAAATATGTTATCAGGAAATCGAACATATTAGGTGTGGTCTCAAATATAAATTTGAAAAAAATATAAGTTGGTTGTGTCTAGAGATTTTGCATCAGTGGTTAAACTTCATAGAAAATGTCAGTTTTGAAAAAAAAAATTGAATAAACTGGCTTATTAATTTTTGTTTACAAAGAAAAAAATTTTGATTTAACATTTTAACATTATGTTATACTAACTTTTTATTAATTATAATTAATAAAAAAGTAATTCATATATTGTTTTCAAAGTATTATTCAAATATTGATTTGATAGACGTCTAAATCAGTATTTTTTCCCGTAACAGCACAACCGATATATGAAAAGTGAATTTTTTTCTGTAATTCTTCCGGAATTGAATCAAAGAATGAATTAAAAGATTCCAAAATTTTAATGAGGTCTTTCATCATGGAGTTGTTAGAATATAAGCATAATGTTAGAAAATTAAAATCATCTTGCAAAAAAGACATAATATAATAAATTACTTTCTTCGTAACCTTAATTATTAATTTATTAATAATAAAATAAATTTATTATTTCTGAAATTTATATTTCTGTTTTAATTAACTTGATTCAGATCTAATATACATTTGCTTCTATTAGTAATTCGATCACTACAAAGACTAAAAAGCTAGGTTATATTTATGTATACACTACAAGAATGCGAGTTGTTAATAACTATATATTTGGGTGTCCCAAAAAAAAAATACATTTCAATTTTTTCCCATTCTCTAAGGTCCAAATAGGCTAAAATTACCAAAAAAACACTTTTTATTCCAGTAAAAGTGATAGCTATAAAATTTTTCAAATAAAAATTCAATTTTTTTCTCGTAAAAATATTTACTTCTAGTTTAAAAACTTATTCTCTGGCGACTAGTATGAGGTTCTTTATTGTAATTATTGTCAAATTAAAATGTGCCAATTTTATTATCTTTTTCTTTTCCTGATTCATTATCTAGGATACATTCTTAGTCATCCTATAGGCAAGTAGGTATGAAGCATTTACCAAACATCTTAGAAACGAATTTTTATTAAAAATAACAATATTTTTAAAAAACTCTAAAATGTCCTCCCCCTTCCCCTTCAAAAAAAAAAAAGCAATTGATAATATAATTTAACTATTAATGCAATGCTCCAGATTGATGAAAATGAAATAGTGGTTCATCTCCTCATTATTAAAAGACAACTAGTTTATATAGGTTCGTGTAGTCCTTGTGTTAAATATCTCTGTGGTCGATGGCCTCTTGAGGAACTTTAGGGCCTCCTTTTTAAAGTTGTTTAAAAACAACCCAACCTGTTACCCGTTCTAACTATGTGCTCTGTCTTATCCACTTTGTTCTGAGTGACCAGCCTTTATATAATCTTATCTATAGTACTTTCCTATGCCATTTTATTTTCTCACCAGTGAGATCCTCCAAAAAATGAGAAATGTGTACCTCCATCATGTGTTGTCTCTAGATAAATCAGAACAGGGAAGGTTGTGATGCTGTTAAAAACTCCAAAAAAGAACTTCAGTGTTGGAGTGTTGGAAGCAGTGATGTAATAAGTATATAGGTTTACGAGAATGCACACGGTTTTTTAAGCTTAAGTATTAAGCCTTTTAAAATATTTTAGATAAGCGTATCCAAGCCTGTTATAAAAACCCAATATTCATATAAAATAAAAGTATGTATTCAGAGGCGATTCTACGAATAAAATGAGGGGGGAGGGTGAATCCTCAAAAAGTACCGACTAGCTTCTTAAAAAAAAAAAAAGTTCCTAAAAACGAAAACTTAACCGACTGAATTGAGTCAAACTGCCAACCAGCCGACTAAATTAGTAAAAAACTGACTATAACTTGAAAACCACCTTCTTTGCCGGAGGGGGGGGGGTATTACATCCCCTACACAACCCCGTAAAATTGCCTCTGTATGCATTACACTAAGTTACTGTAGCTCTTTGTTGCGCCACCAGCAACTAGTTATGAAAATGTCTGCTCTGTTACCATTAGTGATTTCTCAACATAATTGGACTGATGTGGTTGAAACTGTAAGAATATTTGGAGTGGAAAGAATTTTGCTCGCATAGCCATCCTTCAACTTTATTAGCAACTTTAGATCTAATTCCTGATAGGTATAATTTATAAAAAAGAAATACTATATCAGTTTAAATCTCTGTTGCTTATTAACATATTCTGTTGATTTTATTTTATAGATTGGCAACCATCAAGACACTTCTTTGGACTTTTTCTACCATTCCAACCACAACATGTACAGCTAAACGGAACTTAGGCGCCATAAATATTTTAAAAAGTCCTTTGTGTAACCAAACCAATGATAAGCGTTTAACTGGCTTGGGATTAATATATGTTTATAATACTATGCCTTTAGAAGTAAACGACGTAATCGATAGATTTGCAGCTATTAAGAAGAGACGCTTAGATTTTGCATTGTAGATTTTGTACTTAATTTATTTATCAAACAAAAACTCTATTAGTCTAAAAAAAAAAGTGAAATTATTTCCCGAGGAAATCTATATAAGAATCTATATAAGAAACTAACTACCCATATTACAACTCCAATACTATAAGTCGATATCTTTTTATTCGTAATTTCCAAAAAAGTTACGCTAACCACTTTTGGTATCAACATTCCCCCCACCACCACCACCAAAAAATCCTGGATCCGTCGCTAATCTATTAATACCAAAATTCTTAAAAGTGTTTACTTGATTCATAAAAACCATTTGATAAAGTTGTTTATTACTAGTGCAAAATAAAAATATTTATGTATCAAATTCGAAAAAATTTATTTGTCTTTTTTACAAGACTTACGAGAAAGCGCGCATTTTTGTTAGCTTATTCTATTTCTGAGCCTCTCGATACTTTTTGCATAAACATACCCGACCCAAATTTTAAAAACCAAAATATGCTTTTTTCATAAAAAGTCATTATAACACTATTCAACATAGACATTAATATTAATTTTATTAAAAACATAATAAAATATAAAAATAACTTTCATTAGATAATAATCCAACATTTTGAAAAAATCAATTTTTTAAAACTTTACAGCTATCACTTCCTGGCTACCAAATTTTTTTTCTGTTGATTTTTAGCGTTATTGAACTTCAGAGAATAGGAAAAAATTGGTAATTGGTAAACCTATTGTACATAATGCGTTCTAGCAAATTAGAGAAACAAGATAAGAAAGAAATAGGTCTGTAGTTTGAAACATTTGTTTTTTCACCAGACTTAAGAACCGCTGTGTATTTGGCTATTTTAAGTTTTTCTGGTACTATACCAGACGTTAATGAGAGATTAAAAATGTTAAACAATAAGGGTTCAATACCGGTGGGAAATCGGCTAGCAAATAGCTAGCTATAATCGTAACAATAAAGACAGCGATTTGGCCACGAGGATCGCTAGCTTTTTAAAGTAGGCGAAAAGCTATCGATATTTGTACAGATAAAGACAGCGATTTGGTTATGAGGACAGCTAGCTTAATAAGATAAAAACGTATTGGCTATTGTAGCTAGTGTCATATCGTAATAAAATCGTTGTCTAAAAAATTTTGATATGTAGCTATCAACCAGCTATACATTTGTAGATATTTTGTAGCCAGCTACAAAGCTACGATATTTAGCAAGCGACACATTGCTACAAACTTGCAATGTTTAAAGTTCAATTATCCTCATAATTATAATAGACTCAACACTAAAATTCGAATTTTTTAATATATTAAAGATATAAGCAAAAAATAAAATAGGAAAAAAAAATCGCTTCAAAATCGCTATAAAACTAGCTAGTCGCTCTCTAGTTGCTCGCTAGTCGCTAGCTCATTTCCCACCGGGATGATATCAAAGACTGATTTAACTACATTGATGCTAATTTTATCTGTCTGCACTTTTGTTATTTTTTAGAATGGAAAAAGCACTACGCAACTCACTTGCATTTAAATTTAGTTCTGTCATGATATTATTTGCCGTTGTAAGGTAAGTTTCAAATTTTATGATACTTGATGGAACTTTAGCCACCATATTTAGACCAATATAAAAAAAAACTGTTTAGTTTTTCAGCTATGGCTTCTTTATCATAAAGAGGTTTTTCATCAATTAACAGTTTTTGTAGCAAGTTGTTTTTAATCGATTTTTTTTACCAATTATTTCTTTGATTATATTCCAATTTTTTTTTGTATTTTTATTAGTTTTTTCCAATAGCTTTTCATAATACGATTTTTTTGAAAACTTCATGGATTTTTCAAAAAAAAATTTGTAGTTTTTGTATATTATTTTATTATGATATGTTTTATGTCTTAGGTATTTTTTATATAGCTTTTGTTTTTTCTTTGATGATTTGATTAAACCTTTTGTCATCCTCGGATTCAAAATTTAAATTTTGTTCGACTCAAGGTAATGCCTTATTATTTTGTTTACTGAAAAAAACGAGAAATAATTATTAGTAAGCATTATAGGGAAATGATCACTTATGTCGGTTTTAATTATGCCTTTTCTTATGCAGCAGTTGTGAAAATTGTTTATTGAATAATGTTAACAATGTCTTTGTTATTCTTGTTGTTTTATTTATCGTTGGAATAAAATTGTATTGAAAAATGGTTTCAGTAATGTATTTAGCATCATTTTTCAATGCATAATTTAAAATGTTTTATATTTATTTTTAAAAAGTGTCTAGTTTTTTTCAAGGTTTTTTAACTGTATATGTTGACTGTCCTAATTTGATTAAAGAAAAAGAAAAGAAAAGTTCGACGATTCAGCGTGGTCCATATTTTTTTATGAATATAATTT